ATATATATATATATATATATATATATATATATATATATATATATATATATATATATATATATATATTATACATATATGTATATACATGACATTCGTAGTAGATATTTAACAGGTCCATAAATAAATAAAGATAAATAAAATATAAATGGCAATAAAAATATGTAAATATAATAAACAATTAAGATAACAGTTGTCGATAAGAAGGTGGGAAAATTTGTTTGAAATGTTTCCTTAAATTTGGAAATTAGAAAATCTTTTTTGTTTTTGTCCTCGAGGCGCCAAATTAAACAATTATATATTTTTTAAATGCATTCAAATCAGTTGTACCGTTTGTAATAATCAAATTAATTCAGTTTAATTCATTTTAATTAATATAATCAATTTAATTTAATTTAATTTAATTCATTTTAATTCAAAAATAAAAAAACTCTTTTTAGGGCTGCACTAAACCCCGGGCCCTCGGAAACTGCTGCCCGCCTGCAGCAAACACAAAAAGCATTTTCATAATTAATTAAATTAAATTAAATCACATTAAATTAAATTATTTAAATTAAACTAATTTCGTTTAATTGACTTAATTGGATTTACTGAATTAATTGGATTAAAAAATGGAGTTGGTTTAATTCATTTAATATGATTTGATTTGATTAAATTAAATCCATTTACTTTGATTTAATTCGATTTAATTTGTTTTGATTAAATTCATTTGATTTGATGCATTTAATTTGGTTTATTTAATTTTGATTTACTTTGTTTTGATTCAATTTATTTAATTTAATTAAACTTAATTCGATTTAATTTAATTTGATTTAATCGAATTTATAGAAACAATTAAATTTACAAAAAAATAAAACGAAGTTAAAAAGTAGAAGTAATATAATTTAGGAAGGAATAAAATAAAAAAATGAAAAGTTGAAATGATAAAATTTGTGAAGAAATAGAAACAGAATAGTAGAAAATTAGAATAATAAAATTTATAAACTAAATTAAAACAATAAAATTTATAAACTAAATTAAATTAATAAAATTAAAAAACCAAATTAAAATAATAAAATTTATAAACCAAATCAAAATAAAATAAAATAAAAAAGAAGCGAACAAAAAATGTAAATAAAAAACAAAAGAGCGCATGCAATTATATGCAAATAATTAAATCATTATAAAACAAATATCTATTATTTATTATTTATTATTATTATTTATTATTATTATTTATTATTTATTATTATTATTTATTATTTATTATTTTTTATTTTTTATTTTATTTATTTATTTAATAAAATAAAAAATAAAAAAACTCCCAACCTGCTGCTTCTCTTCTTGCTGCTGCTGACTGCGGCAGCAGCGCCGCAAAAACCCCCGCGTGCTGCCCCACAACCTGAAATAAATAAATAAATAAATAAATAAATAAATAAATAAATAAATAAATAAATAAATAAATAAATAATAATAATAAATATATAAATAAATAAAGGTGGACTAATGGATTTGAGAGCTTGTTGTTAAGCGGCCAACTTGTTGCAGGGCCCCGCAGCAAAGTTGCGCGACTTTAGGGTTTAGGGTTTAGGGTTTGGGGTTTAGGGTTTAGGGTTTAGGGTTTAGGGTTTACTACCTCAACGTCAGGGCTGTTCGGCAAGCCTGGGTATTCCCTGAAGTAGCGTTTTTCCACCCAGTCGAGTGCCCAGTCAATTGCTTCTGCTGCCCTGCGGCTCAAAACGAGGGTTTAGGGTTTAGGGTTTAGGGTTTAGGGTTTAGGGTTTAGGAATTTTCAAGCAAAGGGTGACTTGGGATTTAGTTGTTTAGGCTTTAGGCACGCCGCTTGAGACACTGACAACAACCTCAATCTTACGTTTACACAAGAGTTCAGGCTTTAGGGTTTAGGGTTTAGGGTTTAGGGTTTAGGGTTTAGGGTTTGCCTGGAAGCTGTGTGCGGGTAATCTGAAGTTGCGTAGCCATCGCGGGGGAGTGCAGAGGGAGGGTCTCGAACAGACTCAATCTTCATACTGAGCGCCCAAACCCTAAACCCTAAACCCTAAACCCTAAGCTAAACCCTAAGCTGGGCATCTAAAGGCCTAGGGCTCTCAGATCTGCGGCATTTAGTCCAGGCTGCGCCTCAAGGGTTTAGGGTTTAGGGTTTAGGGTTTGGGCAGCAGGGTTTGCGACGGTTTGCCTCCACCGCACCCACCGCATTGAAGCATCGTGGCTGCTGCTGCTGCTGCTGCTGCTGCTGCTGCTGCTGCTGCTGCTGCTGCTGCACTTGGGCCGCCGCTTCGTAGAGAAGCCCCTCGCTGCAGGAGCGTGGATGAGTCTGTGTTGAGGTGTACATACACCGGAGATAAAAGAGTTTTGAATTAAATTAAATTAAATTTTAAGTTTCATTTAATTTAATTTAAAACCCTAAATTCAATAAAATGAACAAAAAAGATAATAAATACCAAAAAGGCAAAAAGCCGCAGCAGCAGATTCGGGTCTAGGGTTTGGACTGCATTTGCTTTTGTTTATAAATTCATTTGTTTGTATTTTTATTTATTTATTTTAAAACATTTATTTAAATTAATTGTTTATTGATTTTTCAAGAAATAATTAAAAATAAATAGTTTTTGTGTTTACACTCTTCAGCACCTTGAAGGCAGAGTCGGACCAAACCCTAAACCCTAAACCCTAAACCCTAAACCACGCGCTGGATCCAACAAAGCTGCACTGAACAGTGTTTGTGGTTTTGAGTTGCTACAGCAGCAACCAAAAGAGCAGCAGCAAAGGCAGCAGCAGCAAAGGCAGCAGCAGCAAAAGCAGCAGCAGCAAAAGCAGCAGCAGCGAAAGCAGCAGCAGCAAAAGCAGCAGCAGCAAAAGCAGCAGCAGCAAAAGCAGCAGCAGCAAAGCAGCAGCAGCGAAAGCAGCAGCAGCAAAAGCAGCAGCAGCAAGAATAAATTTAAAATGAGCAGCAGCAAATGTTGTAAGTTCAGGTGTACGTACACCTCGTTGCCCGCCAAATGCGCGTTGGGAATTTCCCATTCTTTTTTTACTTCATTCCAAACCGCCAAAGAGCGGATTCTCTGCAAACCCTAAACCCTAAACCCTAAACCCTAAACCGCAAACCCTAAACCCTAACCGTCGTGCTCAAAGCTGCAAGCTCGAGGCAGTAAACCCTCCGCCGCTTTCGTGGCTTCCCCAGGGGGCCCCCGCCAAACCCTAAACCCTAAACCCTAAACCCTAAGCCGCTGTGGCGGCTTGTGAAGGGGCCCTGTCTAAACCCTAAACCCTAAACCCTAAACCCTAAACCCTCACCGCGTCTTCTTCGGGGGGCACAAACCCTCGATTGATGGTTTGTTCGAGGCTGAGTTGGATCTGGAGTTGCTGGATTTGCTGCAGAAGGGTTTGAGTGTCTTTTTTGTATTTGTTTTGCAATTTGGAAAATCCATTTTCTTTCAAATTAAACTTTTCATTCAAAAGTTCAAATTCATTTGACAAACTCTTCAACTGAGCGGCTCTGTCGCTCACGAGGGTTTCCAAAAACAAACAAGTTTCCAAACCCTTGTCGCGCTCCAGCCGCAGCTGCTCCTCTGCGCACCAAACCCTAAACCCTAAACCCTAAACCCTAAACCCTAAACCCTCGGCCCTGGGCGCTCTAGTGAGCGCTGCGGCCCCGGGCGCCCCCAAAGTGCAAACCCTAGGCAAACCCCCGGGCCCGCACAGTATCCAAGGTCTACAGCCCCAAACCCCAAACCCTAAACCCTAAACCCTAAACCCTAAACCCTAACCCATTTTCATTTGTTCTTCCAGCTTCAGCTGAGTCCGCTTCAGCTCCTGCTGCTGCTGCTGCGCCTTCTTCACTTCGGCTTTGCCCCGCAGCAGCTGCGTCTCCATGGCTTGCAGCTGCGCAGCTAACTCGGCCCGGTGCTGCAGCAAAGGGTTTAGGGTTTAGGGTTTAGGGTTTAGGGTTTGGCGTTTAGGGTTTAGGGTTTAGGGAGGAAATGCGGGAGCTGGAGCTTGAGGATCGCCCTACAGCGCAAACCCTAGGAACCACGGATTCGGCACTCTATGTTTAAAGCTCAGGGTATAGGGTTTAGGGTTTAGGGTTTAGGGTTTAGGGTTTAGGGTTTGTGTCACCTGCTCGAACTGCTGCGCCTCCAGCTCTTTGGCCTTCAATTCCTCTTCTGCTTTCCTCCTTGCCTTTTCTATTTCCTATTAAAATTAAAAATAAATAAATAAATAATTAATTAATTAATTAATTAATTAATTAATTAAAATAAATAATAAACAAATGGGTTATTCAATAAGTAAACACACCAGCGGTTTGCTGCAAATCTTGAAGACAAACTGTAGCCCTTGAACCCTTTGCATCCGTTTCAGGGTTTAGGGTTTAGGGTTTAGGGTTTAGGGTTTAGGGTTTAGGGTTTAGGGTTTACGTGTTTTTGCTGTTCGAATTCCTGGCGGAGGTGGTTTTGCATTTCGAGGCTTTTGGCCTCGCCTTTCTTTCTTTCTTCTTCTCTTGCATTTTGAATTTGGATTTTAAATTCTTCTTCATTTTTAATTATTTTCTTTTTTAATTCTTCTTCATTTTTAATTATTTTCTTTTTTAATTCTTCTTCATTTGCAATTATTTTCTTTTTCATTTCTTCTTCAACTTCAATTATTTTCTTCTTCACTTCTTCTTCATTTGCTGCTTCCACCGAGCGCTGCAGCGCCAGCTGCCGAGCCTCTGCCGTCGCAAACCCTAAACCCTAAACCCTAAACCCTAAACCCTAAACCCTAGGCGGTGAGCAGGGGTTTATAGACGGCCGCCCTGGGAGTATGGGGCCGCAGCAGATGTGGCATTGGCGCCGCTTAAACCCTCAACCCCCCTAAACCCTAAACCCTAGACCCTAAACCCTAAACCCTACGGCCTAGCCTGTAAACCCTAAACCCTTTTGCTGCCACTAGAGCTGCTTTGGCTGCTTTTTTGCCTCTTCTGCTGCCTCGTGTCCGCTTTTGTGGCCTTTTTGGGTTTAGGCTTTAGGGTTTAGGGTTTAGGGTTTAGGGCTTAGGGTTTGGCGCCTCGCTTGCCCCCGTCTTTGGCCCGCAGTGCCCAGAGCCCAGGGTTTGCGCTAGTCGCCTAGAGATCAAAAATGAGGGTTTAGGGTTTAGGGTTTAGGGTTTAGGGTTTGCGGACGTTCTGCGTGCTGCAGCTGCTGCCGCAGC